GACCCCTCCCCGGCCACCGCGCAGCAAACCCGACCCAGCCGCCCGCGGCCGGCCAATCCCTGGCGGAACAGCGCGCCCCGCCCCGCTGCCAGAGCCCCCCAACAGCCCGCTCTCCCGGTCATCGTGGGCAAATGCCCACGACTGGCAGATGGAGGTCTGGGTGCCGGGGCCTGAGGCCGGGCAGCACTTCCCCGAGAGCTGACGTTCCTGAGTTGGCTCCCGGGGGCTGCGCCAACGGGACCATACAAAAGGCAGGAGAATGGGGGTTCACGCGGGCTGACCCGCTGCTGTGCAATGGGCACCTGAGGTGGCTCCAGTGGTGGATCCTATCCCAGACCTCCAGCAAGGAGGCCTCCAGGCCCAGCCAGGTCTCAGGCCCCAGGCAATGAAGACCCGGGATGCTCCCCCACCCCCAACCCGTGCTGGCTCTCTAACCGTCCCCAACCTCTCCAACCATCCCCCCATCTCAACCGCAGCTCCAGCAACAGCTCCCAGAGATGCCTAGGACACACTGAGCGTGGGGCACCCAGCCCAGCGGGGACAGTGTTGGGAAGGGCTGGAGGCTGAGGCTGAAAGAATGACCGAGGTGGTCCAGTTACAAGCAGGGCTGAGTTGTGGAGTGGTCAGGGCACTTAGCATCCTGAACTCTGAGTCATTTCTGAACTAGGCCCCTGCTAACCTGCATACCCAGATGAGGCCTCTTGCGCTGAGGTCTGACAGCACTGACCCACATGCTGGTTCGCACCTGGCCTGGATGCTGGACAGAGCTACAGCAGACAACAGGGAGGGTCCTCCCCGGGGTACAGTCTAAAGAGTGAAGGATTACTCAGGGTCCCTGAGAGCAGGGGACTGGAGGGGCAGGGGAGGAGGAGGAAGGAGGAGGAGAAGAAAGAAAAAAGAAAAGGGGGGGATGGGGAGAGGAAGTGACCACTGGCTCGGAGGCCACTGGGTGTGCATACAGGAGGCGGCACCTCTGGGAAAGGTGGAGGGGAGCTATAGGTGCAGCAGGAACCCTGGGTCCCGATGATGAGGTGCCTCCGCTCCCCTCCACCCCAGGACCAAACTCACTGGCCATTTGCTGCCCTCCAGTGGGTTCTGTGGAGAACTGCAGCCCACCTAGCGGGCAGGGGCCCCTCCCTGAGAAGCATGGCCCCTGAATGGGGTGTGTGAGTCTCCAGAAAAGCAGCTTCTTGGTCCCCACAGTCCCTCTGCCCTGTCCTTCCCTGGATGGCTTAACACGTCTTGAGACCCCAGGAGAAAGACCAAGCCCAGCATACACACCCTACTCCTTGCTCTCCCATCTACAAATACCTCCTCTGTCCCCACGTGAGCACATGCACCCAAATGAGGCGAAGCTGGACAAGCCAACCAAGCATAACAGAAGCAGATCGCTGGCCAGGCATGGGCTGCAGGCAGAAGTCCCATGGCAAGGGCGGAGCAGGCCACTGGGGCGGGACAAATGTGGTCGGAGCAGGGCTGGAGTGAGGTGCCAGATGGCTGTGGCACGAAGGACTGGATTCTGAGCAGATCCTCCGACACAGGAGTCTGGCTCTCTAAAAAGCATGGCCCAGTAACACCGTGGTGGCCAGGCTTGCTAGCTCCCATCCCCCCTGGCCAGCTGACAGCAGACATACATACCTGTGCTCTGCAAGAACGAGTTCAGGCTGGACTGGAGGACAAGCCCTTAAAGGTCAGTGGGTGGATGAGGGCAGTGAGCTCCAAGGCAGCTGGGAACACTGGGGAAGAAAGCAGGCAGAATGGGGCCTCACATAAAGCTTCCTGGACTAGATGAGCCAGGAGACTCCCCCCCATCCCCGACTTCCACTCACCTGAGGTGGCCAGGTGGGAGCACAGGCCTCCACAGGTAAAGAAGTGCACACACAGCACACTGAGTACACACATGTCCACACAGAGAGGACTCAGCACACGTGAGAACATGTGTGTCCACAGAGAGACAGGACTCAGCACACGTGTGCAGACGTGCTCACAGACACATGCAGACGCGAGGCGTCCAAACACAACACACAGGTGTTTCACATGCACAGAGCACACGTTGGTGTTGTGCTGCTGTTCGGTGCTGTCAAGTATGATTCATAGTGTCTCTGTGAACGACAGACTTAAACACTGTCCTCTACTCTGTACCAGCCTCACAATCTCTGACACACAAGACCCCACTGCTGCAGTCATTGCACCAATTCATCTGGTTGAGGGTGTTCTTCTCTTTTGCTGACACTCCACCTTTCCAAGCATGGTGTCCCTCTCCCAGGAACAGCCTTTCCTAGCAAAGTGGCCAAAGGATGAGATGTAGCTGCACCATCCCTGTCTCCAATGAGCACTCTGGCTGCACCTTGCCCAAAACTTACCTACCTGTCTGTTCTCCTGGCCGTCCATGGGGTGTTCAGTGCTCTTCTCCAATACCACAGCTCAAAAGCATCAATTCTTCTGTCATCCTTATTCACTGTCCAGTGCTCAAATGCGTAGCTGCTGTTGTTTTTGTTATGTGTCAAGTCCCCTGTGACTCATAGCGACCCTATGTCGAACAGCTCTGAATCCTGCTTTGTCCAGAGACAATCTTACTGACTCTAACATACCTACCCCCAATGCCCCAGTTATTGTATCAATCCATCTCATCTGGGGTCTTCCTCTCCTGTGCTGTCCCTCCACCCTTCCAAGCATGATGTCCTTCTCCAAGGACCAGTCTCTCCTGGCCACGTGTCCAAAGTATGTGAAGTAGAGCTTCAAAATCCTGGCCTCCAAGGAGACGCTTGGTTTCGCCCTCTCCAAGACAGACCTATTTGTTTTCTTGGTGGTCTACAGTATGTCCAAGACTTCTCTAGCACCACAACTCGAAGGCATCGATTCTTCTGTCAGCCTCAGTCATTGTCCAGTTCTCTGATGCATAGCAAGTAACTGCAAAGACCACAGACTGAATCAGGCAGCATTTTAGTCTCTACACTGACATTGTTGCTTCTCAGTACTTTGGAGAAGTTCCTGAAAGCAGATTTTCCCAATGCAATTCATCTTAATTTCCTGACTGCTGGTGCCAAGGGTGTTGATTGTGGAGCTGAGCAAGCTGTAATTATTAACAGCCTCAATCTCTTCATCCATCATGGCGCTGCTAATCCGCCCAGTGGTGAGAATCTTTTTCCAGATGTTGAGCTTCAATGCATATTGAAAATACAGTCCTTGACCTTCTGCAGCAAGTGCTTCAGGTCCTCTTCAGTTTCAGCAAGCAAGGTTGTGTCATCTGCATAACGTAGGTTTGTTGATGAGTCTTCCTCCAATCCTGATGCCAACTCACTCCTCCTAAAGTCCAGCGACCTGAATAATCTGTTTTGCATATAGACTGAAAAGGTATGGAGACAGGATGCTTCTCTGACACACTCCTTTCCTGATTTTGAACCATGCAGTGTTTCCTTGCTCTGTTCTGAGGACTGCTTCATAGTCTAAATACACATTTTGCATAAGCACAATCAAGTGTTCTGGGATTCCCATTCTTCTCAAGGTTAGTCACAATTTGTTGTGATCCACAAAGTCAAATGCCTTTGCATAGTCAATGAAACACAGATAGACATTCCTCTGGTTCTCTCTGCTTTCTGCCCAATGACTGAAAAGACCATGCCCTGAGTCAAGCGGACCTTAAGTCTTGAGTTGATATCATCACCTTTTAGTACTCTGGAAAGGTTCCTGACTGCTGACGTTCCCAATGCAATTTGTCTCCTTATCTCCTGAATGCTGGTAACAAGGATGTTGACTGTGGATCCAAGTAGGATGAAGTGGTTGAGAGTTTCAATCTTTTCTCCACTTGTCATGACGTTGAGATGTAATCCACACTGAAGGCTGTAGTCTTTGATCTGCAGCAAGTGCTTCAAGTTCTCCTCACTTTCAGCCAGAGAAGCTGTGTCGTCTGCGTAACACAGGGTGCTGCTGAGTCTTCCTCTGATCCTGATGCCACCCACATTCCTCTTCACAGAGTCCAGCTTCTCAATTTGCTCAGCACACACACTGAATAGATACGGACAAAGAATACAATCCTGAAGCCCACCTTTCCTGATTTTAAACCATGCACGCTCCTTTGCTCTGTTCACACAACAGTTTCTTGGTGTAGGTATAGGTTTTGCATGAGCACAGTTAAGTGTTCGGGGATTCCCACTCTTCTCAATGTCAGCCACAGTTTATGGCAGATGTGCAAACGTAACACATAGACACGGATTCACATGCAGAGACAGAACACACAGGAGATGTGAAAACATGGCATACAACACGTGCCACGTGTATTCACACAGACGTGGAAATAAGAGAGACACACACACACTCTCAGGTCCATCCTGGTACCCCAGCCCTCCCACTGACTGGGGGCTCTGGGACAGGCTGCTGTCCCCCTCCTAGATGAAGCCTAA